TCTGTTTATCTTCGCTGGGCTTGCTCCCATAGCTGAGGCTGACTGGCTGAGAGCTGATGTAGGATGACCTCTGCTATGATGCCTGAGGACTCAGCGGTACTGCATGTCTCTCCTCCGCCAGCAGGTTAGCCCAGGCATGTCCTGAGGGCAGCGGCACAGGCACAGGATAAAAGCCCAATCAATGTATAAGCCTATTTAAAACCTCTGCTTGCCTAAGGTCAGCTATATCCACTGGCTAAAGAAGATCATGTGACTGCGCCCAGAATGAGTTGGAGGGCTCTAAAAAGAAACATGACAAAAGTCAGGATGCAAGGACAAATGAAGTAGGGGATTGTTTTCATAATCGGTCACAGTGTCTATGTATTTTTTCTTAGTGAAGTACCACTCTTTCTCATTTTTTAAAAAAATTGTAACTTCTCTTAAATTTTTCTATAATCACAACATTGTAGAGTCATTTATTAATAGAGAGAAATACTTTACAATTTAAGGAACCTGAAAAAGAACAACAAACAGCCCAAAGTCAGTAGAAGGAAAAAAAATAAAGATTAGAGCAGAAATAAATAAAATAGAGTCTAAAAAATATATATATAAGATCAATGAAACCAAGAGCTGGTTCTTTAAAAAGTTAAACGAGATGGACAAACCTTTAACCAGACGAATCAAGAAACAAAGAGAGCCCTAGTCAGTTTGCCTCAGTGGATAGAGCGTTGACCTAGGGACTGAAGGGTTTGATTCTGGTCAAGGGCACATGCCCGGGTTAAGGGCTTGATCCCAGCAGGGGGAGTGCAGGAGGCAGCCTATCAATGATTCTCATCATTGATGTTTCTATCTCTGTCTCCCTTTCCCTTTCTCTCTGAAATATATATATAAAAGAAACAAAGAGAGAGGACTCAAAATCAGAAATGAAAGAAAAGTAACAACTGACATCATAGAAATACAATTGATTACAAGGAAATATTATGAATAACTATATGCCAACAAATTGAACAATCTGGAAGAAATGGATAAGTTCCTCTTAACATACAATCTTCCAAAACTGGATCAAGAAGAATCAGAGAATCTGGACAGAAAAATTATAACTAATGAAATTAAAGCATTAATAAAATAAAAATAAAAACTCCCAACAAACAAAAGTCCTGGACTGGATGGGTTCATAGGTAAATTTTACCAAACATTCAAAGAAGAACGAACACCTATCTTTCTCAAACTCTTCCAAAAAATTCAAGAGGAGGGAAGAGTCCCAGGCACATTTTACAAGGCCAGCATTATCCTAATTCTAAAGCCAGACAAAGACACTACAAAGAAAGAGAATTACATGCCAATATCCCTGACGAACATAGATACTAAAATCCTCAACAAAATATTAGCAAAACGATCCAGTTTCACATTAAAAAGATCATACACCATGACCAAGTGGCATTTATTCTGGCAATGCAAGGTTTCTATAATATCCACAAGTCAATAGATGTGATACAAAACATAAAATGAAATATAAAAACCACATGATCATGTCAACAGATGCAGAAAAGGCATTTGATAAAATCCAGCACCCATTGTTTAAGGTGTTTGTATAATTTCATGCTTCTACATCTAGAACCTAGAGAGAACACTGTAAGTATTGTGGGAGGAGATGTCTAAATACAGGAATCACCCTGACCTGTGTGGTTCAGTTGGTTGGAGTGTCATCCTGTGAACTGAAAGGTTACTGGTTTGATTCGGGTCAGGGCATATACCCAGGTTGCAGTTTGATTCCGGGTCCCAATGTGTACGGGAGGCAGCCGATCAATGTTTCTCTCTCACACCCATGGGTTTTTTTTTTCTTTTTTCTTTCTCTCCCTCTCCTTTCCTCTCTCTCTAGAATCTATGAAAAACATATCCTCAGGTGAGGATTTAAAAAATAATAAATAAATACAGGGATCAATAATTTTTTGTACTAAATACCTACAAACAGGAAGCATGTGTAATTATGAAAAGACAACAGAAATGAAATAGAAGACTGAAAGGAGGGGAATTTTAAATACAAACAAGGAGAGAAGAAGGCAGAAAATGAAACCCTGTACCAATTGTTGGGGGGGCCAAGGGCAGACACCTGTTTCTTGGTTTGCCTCACGTGTACGTGGAGCTGCTACAGGGCAGTTAGTCCCAGAAGGAGCCTGAGACCAGCTCCTCCTTTAAGGAGAGGTTTTGCTCATTCAATAACAGATACATTCACCATGGCCCAAGGCACCTTCAAACACTGCTCTCCCACTCAGCACCACACTTAAGTCCAATGAAAGTGCCAATAATGCAGAGAGTGCCCACTCCCAGCTGAGGGTTAACCATTACCACAGTTCTGGGGTGCACCGAACAGCACAAAAAGCTGGGCAGCAAGCAGAGTTGGAGCAAGGGGGATTAGGATAAGTTTTGAGAGAGAAGTGGTGTCGAAACCGGGATTGGATGCAGAGGCAAGAAAATGTGGAAGCAGCCCTAGCCAGTTTGGCTCAGTGGATGGAGCATCAGCCTGCAGACTGAAGGGTCCCATGTTTGATTCCAGTCAAAGGCACATGCCCGGGTTGCGGGCTCCATCTCCAGTAGAGGGGGTGGTGCAGGAGGCAGCCAATCAACGATTCTCTCTCATCATTGATGTTTCTATCTCTCTCTCCCTCTCCCTTCCTCTCGGAAATCAATAAAAATATATTTTAAAGAAATAAAATGTGGAAGCAGCACACAATCTCATTTTTTTTCTATTTATTTGTTTTTTTATTACACAGTCTCATTTTCATTGCAAACATAGAGGGCACTAGGCTGGAGAGTGAGCTGAGACCAGATCATGGCGGGTCTTGAATGCCAGGGTGAAAAGCATATTCATAATTCAGCGAGAGCCACTGGAAGCTTTTGAACGAGAAGTGACATGACAGAGCCTTGATTTTTAACTGCATATATGCCTGTACGAAATAAAGACTGCATTTCCTAACGTCTCTTGCAGCGAGGTGTGGTCATGTGCCTAAATTCTGATTAATGAAATCTAAAGGAAATAGGACTATGTAGCCAACTTTTAGGAAGTTTTCTTAAGGGAACAAAGAATTGCTCTTCCCCACCCCCGCCCCCTCTGTTGGATAGAAGCTGAAACTAATCCTAACATGTAAATTACTTATTAGAAAGATTGGCCCAAGGCAAGGCAAAATATAAGATGGTTGGAACAAGAGGAGCATTGGAGGTGGGAAGACTAATTAGGAAACAATTCCACGGTCAAGATAAGCAGTGAGGAATGAAAAACTGAGCCAAGTATGGTAGCAGTAGAAATGGACGGGGGTGGTGGATATAATATATATTGTGAAAACAGTGTCTTTGTGAATTGGTAATTGAGGGGAAGAGACACCAAAGAAGGAAGAATCAAAGGTCACTGTGAGATTTCAAAGAGAGGTGACTGGCGGTCAACAATGCTGGTAACAGAACAGGGGATTCAGAAAGAGGAGCAGGCTTGAGGAGGGCACAGAAATGGGAGTCAGAGGAGGAGCGGGCTTGAGGGAGCCAGCCATGAGTCAGTGTTTGACATGCTGAGTTGGAATGCCTTCGGGATGTCCAGGTGGAGATGTAAAGCAGGCAATTGGGAATTCATTTCTGGAGCATGATACGAGAGTCCTTGTATAAAAACGGTAGTCAAAACAAAGGAAGTTGCTGGTTGGCAAAATAGAGGGTGTCTCTAGAATTGCCTCTCCTTCTGTGCACAGAGAGAAATAAATTGTGTAATGAAAAATCAGATAAAAATATGTACAACTCTTCACTTGACATGCGCCCCCCTCCCTCTCTCAAAAATAACAACAACAAAAAAAACCACCACTACCACCACAACAAAAAACCCTACAATGAGACAGTAATGGAAATCCTCACTCTGTCAAAATTTGAATAGCTCCTGAAAGTTCCTTAGGAAGGCATTTTGTTTGACTTGTACAAATATCTGTCATGACATGTTTTAAGATGACTCCCTTTTCAGCAAGAGATCTATAGCAAATTGCCTTCCTCTTTAACTCATGTAAGACTTCCCTTTCACAAGTCTTGAAAGAACAATTCTTTTCAAAAGCAGAATGAGAAAATATAAAAATCCAATAAATGTGAAAAGTAAAACTACTACCTAGAGCTTTCTCCTGTATCTGCTGTAACCAGAGCAAATGTTAAATAAAAAGGAAATGAATCAAGTGTGAACAGTAAGGAACCAACTTCAAAGGCTGGCTAAACAGTCATCTGCACTGTTTTCGCGGGACGGCTTGGGGATGGAAGAGGTTAATATCCAGTGGCTTGTGTGCCAGCGGGGGTGCGCTGGAAGTAGCGGTGTGGGAGCTCTGTTTTTTCCTAGAAGAATTTTGCGTCTTTACCGCAGACAGCTGCAGGGGAACCCGAGGCGCGCTCCTCGGGGCGCGCAGTGGCGGGGCCGGGCGCTGGAGTTGATGGCACAGTGGACCCGGGTTTCACTGAGGGGTGTCAGAGCCCTTATTGCACGTGTGGAGGAGGCTTTTCTCATCCGCCCATCCATCCATCTTTTGTCTCAGGGCCAGGGCCTGCTCTGGGCATCCCGGCGTGCTTTACCGCACAGAACCCCACGGGACTGCATGGGAGGAGGAGGTTTGATGCAGGAGGACGCGGCGGTAAGACTACCGTGGGGCCCCCTCAAAAGAGACGGGCGAGTTATCGGATCCGGGCGGTGCGGGGCGAAAGCAATAACCCTGAAGGAAAGCCCTCCCCTCTCCCACTCAGGACAAGGAACGCAGCCCCATTCCCCCTTCTCCCGGGCCCTCGGGCTCGGAGCGCCCAGACCTCGGCCCGTCCGAGAGGCCCTGGCAGTGCCAACGGCCCGCGCCGTCCCTCAGACCGCGCCTCCCCACGGTAGCCAGGAGCCCGTCCCCGGGGCAGCGCCCCCATCCGAGACGCCCCATCCACCGCGCCCAGCTGGGGGTGCGCACGGGTGCTGATTGGCCATGGCCGTGGAGGGGGCGGGGCTGCGGCCTTGGAGGGCGGCCCAGGCCCATTTCTCTTTGCCATCGGTGACTAGGTTGCATCATTTTCTGCCCGAGATTGCTGTGCGTGATCCACTTAGCCGGGAGCGCCAGCCCGCTTCCAGCGCCTCTCCTGGCCCTCTCCACACCTGTTCCTGCGCCCGGCCCGGCTGTCTCCCGAGGGATGGCTCCCAGAACCAGACACAACTAGTGGATTGCGCCAGCTCCGCCTGAGCCATTCATTGAGAGTTCAGTCTTTCACTAGAGCCCAAGTCCCTCACCTTCTCCAGCTCCGAGCTGCGGGCAACGCCATGGAGAAGAGCAGTGAAACCAACGGCTACCTAGACAGCGCCCAGGCTGGGCCTGCAGCGGGGCCTGGAGCGCCCCGGCCCACCGAAGGACGCGCGCGGCGCTGCCTCGGCTTTCTCCGGCACCATGCGCTGGTGCTGCTCACCGTGTCTGGGGTGGTGGCGGGCGCCGGTCTCGGCGCGGCACTGCGCGGGCTGGGGCTTAGCCGCACGCAGGTCACCTATCTGGCCTTCCCCGGGGAGATGCTGCTCCGCATGCTGCGCATGATCATCCTGCCCCTGGTGGTCTGCAGTCTGGTGTCGGGCGCCGCCTCTCTGGACGCCAGCTCTCTTGGGCGCCTGGGCGGCATCGCCATCGCCTACTTCGGCCTCACCACTCTCGGCGCGTCTGCGCTCGCCGTCGCTTTGGCGTTCATCATCAAGCCTGGGTCTGGCGCGGAGACCCTTAAGTCCAGCGACCTTGGGCTGGAGGATTCGGGCTCCCCTCCGGTCCCCAAAGAGACAGTGGATTCCTTCCTCGACCTGGCCAGGTAACGACCATCCTCCCCCTCTCCCCTCCATGGAGACGCCAGCTCTTCAATTACCCTCCAGTTCATTCATAAACACACACCTTCATATACTCCTAAAGAGTTCATTCTTAATTGGTTGCTAATATTTTTAAATATCAAAGTAATGTCTGGAGCTTTGCATGCTGACCACCCTTTTCAAACATCAGTCTTGATGCACCGGACAGTCTGAAGGAGCAGGGCCACATATTTTTTTAGCAAGAGCCAGTCCTACCTTCAAGTGTGAGTGTGCATTAGGGCAGAGGCAGCAGCCTCGCCTGTACTTGACTTCTTACGCTCTCTGGCTATGTTCTAACCACTCCTGGATAGCTTCACCCTATTTTATCCAACAGAGTCCCTGAAAGCTTCCGGGCGCATTGGTTAAATTTTGCCTGTTGAGCCATCCTGGCCTGTAATCTATGGCCTTCTCTGCTTCAGCCCTTTGGCTGGGAGGAAGCTGGCAATTTTTTGAAGAGTTGGTCAGAAGACCCAAGGATAACAAGGCTGGGCTTAGTTGTGTGGGGCCCGTTGCCCAGACTAGCCTCTCCTGGGGGCTTGGAACAGATTGCCCTCCAACCCATAGTCAGGACCACTGTACAGTATTGTGAGTTTCAAGGGGCTTTATTTGTGGGAAGATGTGAGTTCCAGAGCAGAGGGAGAGAGTCACTTTCTGTGACGCTTCCAAGTTGCCTTTCAAACCCTGAGACATAGGGTAGTTTCTCTGGTTTACTCAAGTCAGCCTCTCCTGCTTTCTCCATTAGCTCAGAGTTCACAGACGGAAAATTGCAGCCTGGAGGCATTTACTGACCTGGCCAAATGCAGCTGAGTGAGGGGCTCAGCTGGCTCCGGCTCCAGGTTTCCGACTGGGAGCCTTGTAGAGGTCTGTTTAGTCTTAAGTCACTGAGGCAAAGTTCCTCATTGCTAACTAAGGCTGTGAAAAAAACGGCAAACCCTGGGCAAAGTGACTGGGCTTCCTGCTGTTTCCATTTCTCCTTCTGGAAAATGTGACAACGGTCTGCCACCGAACAGACAGAGTGTTCATTTGAAACTACAGCAGTGACAACCAAAAAAAAAAAAAAAAGTCCAAGGTATTACATTGAAAAATAAAAATCTCTGATGAGGCGGACCAGAAAGTTCATACCAAAATTTCTTCCCTAAAAGGCAGGTAGAGGTAGCCTATTAGGACTTTGATGGCATCACAGCCTTTGCTTAGTGTCTGGCAGCTTGATATTTGGAATCTTGAGAAATCCTTAAAGTTTGGGGACTCACTTGGGTGTTGAAAACAGTCTAATGAGGTTGAGAGTGCCTTTGGCTCTTCAGTGTATCTGTCATCTGTCCCAGGAGAGAAAGCGGATATTGGGATGAAAGGATTCTTTTTTGCAAGGATCAGTGGTCCAGGGAGGGAGTTGTACCCCCATCGGAGGCTCAGTAGCATTCTCATCTCCAAGAGAGGGGCAGTGGCCAAAAACAGGGGGTGAGGGTGATCTGAGGGGTACCTTATTACCACCAGCCCCAGAAGAGATCTCTTAGTTTCTGATCGTGGCTTGCTAGTTTTAGACCCAAGCCCCTTTAGCTCCTGCTTCTGAAGTGAATGGTGACCCAGTATCATGGCATAACGGTCAGTGTAGGTGCAGACTTTTCAGTGACTTGGGATTGCAGATACAGGGAATGACTAAAAGAACCTTTGTCATGGCTTGTTGGGGATAGGTAGTGTTTCATAATGCATCCAACAGCCAACCTCATTTGATCCAGCAGCTCACGGATAAACTGAGGAAATTGAGCTACAGAGAGATTAAGTGATTTGCTCAAGATCATGGAGTAGTTGATCAAAAGAGGGATTATAAGAACCAGTGGACTCTGGACTCCATAGTTCAGGGTTCTCTTTCTCTACCCTCCCCTCCCCCAAGTCAACATGCGATAGTAATGAAACCACGCTGCTGGTCTAGTCCCACAGTTTCAGAAGTGTTATCTCTGGGTCAAAAGAGGAACCAGGTAAGGGTTTGACAGGGTCGAGGCAGATGGCCACTTCCTCTAAGGAGGAGATGAGCCCCTTCGGTGTCGGTGGAGGAAAGCACGTGTGCAGCTGCTCAGACGTGGCTTTCACCGTGAGCAGCTTGTGAGAGGAAACAGTCCTGAGCCACATGGAAATACTTCCTGGGTCTGGGAAGACTCTGGGTAAAAATTTTAAAATTGCTTCCTTTAAGGAATCCTTACAGATGTCCATTTTAAGTGACTCTGGGCATGTTCCTTGGCAGAGGCGGGGCGCAGTCCTTCCTGCCTGTGGGCACGTGAATGAAATGAGAATTTACCAGTAAACACCTCAGTCATGCAGCAGGCCCTCCCCTGATCACTGCCCACAACTTAAAACACCTGGAAGGAGTCGGAAAGGTCTCTGGTGACTTCGTGCAGTGCAGGCTTTGCCAAAGTCCATGACCTTTCCTGGTCGCGGAGTGGCCCCAAATCCCACGGGGTCTCTCTGCCACAATTTCTAATTTGATTTTTGAAGCTGTAAGTACAAGTCAAAAAGAAATGAAACCAATCGATATTCATTATGCCTTTGAGAAAATCCAGAATGCCATTACCAAGGGGTTTGGTTTCCTACCACACAATGGATTAGAAATAACAAAGGAGCCGCGAGTGGGTGTGAGGTGCCTGCACTAGGAGCAGGCCCTTCGAGAGGTTGAGAAAGGACAGTGGATAGTAGCTGTCAGGTGGCAGCGTCGCAGACAGTCCCTTCCTGAGCAGCCTGCAGCTTTTATGCCTGAGGTCCGGGAACAATACAGGACTCTCCAAGCTGGGTGTGACCCATCCAATTGAGCCAGGATGTTTCATCCAACACGAAATGATTTTGGCACCAAAGACACAGAATTAGCTTATCAGGAACCCAGTCATTGTGAAAGTTCGTAGTCCCTACCAATGTTTATTTCGGAGTCCTAGGGCATGCCCATAACTTCCGGTGCCCTGGCTTCCTCATTTTCCTAATCAGGATCATGATAGTACCTACCTCACAGGATTGCTTTGAGGATTAAATGAGTTATGTCTGGCCCAATGTATGTTTGCTCTTGTTATGAATGGAGCCATGTTACAGAGCGATTGGGGTTTACACAACTAATGGGAATGGCCCTGTTTTTACAGTTTGAAATAAATGAGAGTAAATAGGGGGCTGCCGGAGGGGGCGGGGGGAGAGAATGTTTGAGGGAACTCAAGATGCCTTGCAGCTAACGTAGTCTTTAGGTATTTTGGGAACCACGTGGAGCCTGGAGAAAAAGAAGTGAGCAGTGCCAGACTGTTTTGGACTAATAGAATCAACACTATGGGAAATTTGGAAAATGGAGAAAAGTCAAAACTAAACACAGATTTCTGAAATGGGCAGAAATCCTCACATGTGCTCCATGATGTTCCAGTTTATTTTATCCCTGCCTTACCTGTACAGTCTCCAAAATTGACCTCAGCTGTAGATGGAAAGCACTGAGGCAGCTGGCTTCTCAACCTTCATCTGGATCAGTGGTTCTCAACCTTGGCTGCACACAGTGATGGCGAACCTTTTGAGCTCGGCATGTCAGCATTTTGAAAAACCCTAACTTAACTCTGGTGCCGTGTCACATATAGAAATTTTTTGATATTTTCAACCATAGTAAAACAAAGACTTATATTTTTTATATTTATTTTATATATTTAAATGCCATTTAACAAAGAAAAATCAACCAAAAAAATGAGTTCGTGTGTCACCTCTGACACGCGTGTCATAGGTTCACCATCACTGGCTGCACATTAGAATCACCTGGGAATCTTTTTAAAATCCTGATTGCTGGGCCTCATCTTCCGGAAATTCTGTTTCTTTGTTATGGGGTGGGGCCACAACATTAGTAACAAAGAAACAGAATTTCTGGAGGATGAGGCCCAGAAATCAGGATTTTAAAAAGATTCCCAGGTGATTCTAATGTGCAGCCAAGGTTGAGAGCCACTGATCTGGATGCTAAACTTTGTAGTTTTCAAATGGGAAACCAAAGACTTATCTGCAAAGAAGGCAGGTAGGACAGCTTCTGGGCTGAGGCTCTGTGTGCTCTGGCAGAAGAACCGCGCTGGGCCTTGTCTTTTGCGGAAGTATAGCAGGCGCTCCGTGTACCTGGTAAGCACCACTGAGATTTTGCCTGTTGCCCTTTATTCTAGGAGTTATGTTTTTTCTTGTGCTCATTTTATCAACAATGGACTGAGCTCTGAGTCTTTCCCTTCACCAAGGGAGGCATGAGAGACTTAATTTCCTCCCTCAAGGACTAGTGTGAATGGGATGCCTCTCAAGCTGCAAAGAACACATTTCTCAGTAGGTGCAAAGATGCAAAGAATCCTATTGGGGACTGTGATCTAATATTAGCCCCCGGATCACAAGAGAGTGAATAGTGCATAATTTCTTTTAAATGTTGGCCATGCAGGTTGTTTAATCTATGCCCACGTATCTCTATTGGCAAGATGAAGACTCTTAGCAAATCTAACAAGGATCCAAATCCATGGAGGTTTCTCAGCCAAACTACTCACTAAAATAGGAGCTTGTAATTTAAAAAAAAGGTTTTAACTTGACACCATTCCTTCTACTCGGGAGACTACCCGACTAGTTCAAGTACTGAAAAGAACATGCACGCAGAGAGACAGTGTGGGCAGTGATTGAGAGCAGACACTGAAGTCAATTCCCTGGGTTTGAATCCAGCTCTACCACTTACTAGCTTTGTGGACAAGTCATGTAGCCTCTTGGTGCCTCGGTTTCCTTATCTGTAAAATAAGGCATATAATAGTATCTACTACCTAGACTTGTTATCTGAGTGTCTTGCTAATATGCTAGTGTACCTTAGCCACTCAGGCTACTTGATATAGAGAATGAGTGCTGTTCTTAGCTTTCTTTCCTAAAATGTCTCCCACCCCAGAGGCCCAGCATTAACCTTTACAGCTGGAATTTAAAACTGGATGTGGGCCTTAAAAAGAGGGTGGATTAC